TAGGTATTATGTAGGTATTAATATTATTACCTGCACATTGTCAAAACTTCTGACAACAGAAAAAAAATTACCATTGAGTGAACACTTTGGAAGGCTGCGTCGGGAATCACAAGTCGGCACTACGCACCACCGTTTGAAACAAGCAAATAGCCGCGGACCGCGACTATTTTAGGGAAGTACGGGACCAGACCAGGGTAGTCCGGCCTTACCCGCGGAACCGGGTACCAGGGTACCAGCAGGTGCTACCCACCCGGAACAGGTTCTACCCGCATTGACGGGTATTACTCGGGCGGGTGGGTACCTGGGTAACCCGATTCTCCGGTTCTCCGGGTAAGTGAGAGCCCTAGTGGGGGGTGCTTTTTGGGCGCTCACCTCGACTACGGCGAGAAGCGGTGTGAAATACGCAGAGATCAGAACATGCGGGAGAAGATCGGAGAACGTCTCCTCAAGTTCGCGGCCAGCGCGCGATAGCTGACTTTGTAGCGGCGCCCATTCCTGGCAATGGCCTCTCTGCAATGTAAGCCTCAGATTATTTCTATAAGCGGCCTCGAGAAGGGTTTATGCTTAACAAGAAGGTCACCCAAAAAAGATTTGTTTGCTTTCGGTTGCTTTTCGTATGCTTTTGGTACGCTTTTGCTTTTGGTATGCTATCGGTTCGCGGAGGGTCGCGCTCGGGGCGCCAATGGGTCGCCGAGGTTTGTCAGGCTCCTGAGCGACGTATCGCCAAGGATCGTCGGAGGTTCGCGCCGGAGCTGCCTAGGGTAAGATGCCCTATGATGGCCACCTTAAGAATGGGCCTGCCCAATGGTGGCCACCCCTTTTTCTTGAAATGTAGACAACGATGTGAAGTAGTTTGGCTTATCATGCCCAAGTAGGGACCTTACTAGAACACAACAACTTCAAGTCCAAGATTGTAATGTGACCAAATTGGCTGGAAATCGAGAAAAGTGGCCATCAATAGACAGTGGCCACATTAGGGCACCTTACCCTATGTCCATCATCCGGTCGCTCTATGCGCTGACAGAGCGAACTGCGTATGCTTTTAGGTCGCTCCGAGACGAACATGAGCGACCCCAGTTCACTTTCGATTCGCCTGGACTAGAGTCCTATATGTGGGAGAGAGCCGCGAATAGATACGAAATGGTGGCGCGCGGAGCCCCGTCCTCCCCCTCCCTGCAGCCCCCTCGCCCTGCCCCCCGCCGCCCGCCAACAGCGGTGCATCCTCGTGCGCTGTGCTCATGCGCGGCTGGCGGGTGGCACGGTGCTCGGAGCTTTTGACGCTCATAATTCCCAAACCGTTCAAATTAGTTAGGGAGTGTAGGCGAGCCGATTTATGTACATATTTTAAGCTTTCTACACATGACATTACTTTTTCGCCACGATCCCCACAGCCCGAGAACGAGCAAAGCAGCTAACCTCACTGGACTGTATTTTTACAGGCGTTACTGTAAAAAAGCAACGTTCATGAAAATCTCGGAAACAAAGTTTCCGACCAAAAGCAGTTACTTTGTTTTGCTCCTGTAAAAGAAAAGTTGTAATAATACGAGTCTCCTGTATTGGAACGAAATGTGCTGCTAACAAAATTAACTTCTCTTTTCTTGTAAATGTACAGCAAAGTAAAACGTTGTAGTTTTTGTTGTGGGCCAATATGGGCCGAATATCACAAGTTTCGAGAGTGTTCAAATGAAAACAACATTTCTGTCACATAACAGGGGTGTCAATCCCGCAGTATGTCGTCAGGTGACAGTTATTTTTAACAGTGAGCTCGAGCAACGGCGAAACAGTTCTGCCAACGTAAAACTCACAAGTTGACTATAAAATGATTATTTTAGAATTGCTCTCATGATTTGGTTGATCCTCATACATACTATACTGCTTTCTCACAAAATTACCTGTATTAAAGTTCCAAGTGTCAGCGTGTCTTACCCAAATAATTGTATGAGTTAATTTTTACGGGTTGCAATTTTTGGATACAAAATGGCGGATTAGCTACCCACGTGACCCCTCTCAGCCAATCAGAGCTAGCGCCTCCGGTCACGGACCTCTCCCAAATATAGGACTCTAGCCTGGACAGCCCATCGTCGGCAGGTATTTTTCCTTTCCAGGAAACCCCGGCTGGGCGCTGGCGCTAATCCCTAGACTGGCGCCCTTGACAGCAGAAGAGGAGATGGGGCCAAGGACTATTAAGTAGATGTGCTACGCAAACTGAACCCCGCTGTGTTGCTCGTAGTTGCAGATATTCAGATATTTAACTCTGGACACTGGAAAAACCAATGTTACCATGATAACGTTTTATCATGTGACCAAGACCGGTTCTGGTTCTGTCTTTAAATTTAAGACAGCAATGTTTAATAGGAGACGTGTGGATTTGTAAGTGCTACTATTGTTTCACTGAAATAAACTAGTATATGGTATGTATATGGTATAGTAATGTAACAGTTCAGGAAGCAATGCATTTTTGGGGGGTCCGGATTCAACCAAGTGAACTGCCTTCTTGAGGAATGACGTATGTAATGACAGTGCCGCGGTCCGCGGAAGTACCAAGCAAGGACATATACTCGCTCTTGAAATTTACGAATAATACACCTCCTCATCCGTAATACTCGATTTGCTATACGCACCTCAACACCGCGGTTGATCTCCGCCTGTACTGCAGGTATAGACCGCGTCAGCATGGAAATGCAGGACAGCGACAAAAAGACGGCGGTGCAATCTATGTGCGCGTTATACTCGTTAACGAGTATTTGTAGGTAATCCAGTGCTACAGCCGCTGTGTACCAGCTGCTTTCCGCTACTTCCGGACCTACAACATCGTAAAAAGACCATAGTTACCGGATGTCAAAGTTAGAAGACCCACCCTTCCACCAAACGAAATAATCAGCTCTACCACCCCCCATACAACAAAAAGGCTGAAATAGAAAAAAACTTAGATAAACAGGGGGATTCTACTCTAAACTGCATTTTTTTTTTAAATCTCTTGTTGCACATTTTCTCTACAAATATCCATGAGATCTTTAATCGATTTTCAGCATTAAATCACGTACTTATCAGGCTCTAAACGAATGCCATTTTGGGAGTTACTAAAGCTGCTTCGTTTTCCCATAAAATATTGCGCGCAAGAGTTTACGGACGGAGTAAAAGGGGTCACCTGGTTAGACTACTGCCCCCACCTCCTCCAAACATTCCTTAGGCAGCAGTAGACTGGTAAGGGGTCTAGCCTCTACCAGGCCCTAAACCCCAAATTCTCACGGCCTGTGATCCGATGTGTAGGCAACTCCCCCATGCAGGGATGTTCAACGGGACGGTGCTCGGAAAGGTCATGCGAGGGGGAAATCACTTGCGTACTAACTCGTACACCCAGGCCCGTACTAACTTGTACTAACGGCGTAATAACGCGTACTAATGGTAGAAATCAAGCGTAATAGTGCCGTAATGACAACATTTTGCAAAAATTATGAAAAATTGCTCTAAAAGTAGGATGTACTAACGTGTACTAACGTACTAACTCGTACACTTTCATCTGGAGTGATTTCCCCCTCGAGGTCATGCACACGGTCATTTTTACCGCGTTCATGTTAACGCACGCGTCCATAAAATAAGCCTACTCTTTTCATTCGAATTTTGTTTTGTTTTTTGAACCTATCGCTCTGCTTAGATATTTAATTGTGTGAAATAACCCTGTATTAGGCTATATCAAAGAAGCCAGCTCTGAAATTTTGTTTTGGGTCCATTTCAATTGGAGAAACTACCTCTAGTACTTTAACAGTGAGAGATACAGACAAACGGACGAAACTTTAGTTCATAGGTTTCGTATTTCGTGATTCATCCTTGGAAGGGCTATATCAACGTCCACAATCAGAAATCTTGTTTTGGGGCCCTTTCGACTGGAAAAAACTAGCTCTCGCGCCTAAATATTGAGAGGGGCAAACCGACAAAATTTTGGCCCAAGGGGCTCTACTTTCACGAGTTTCCTTTTGGGAAACCATAAAAAGAAAACTTCTCACTTCTTGAACTACCCCTATTTCTTTGTTACCCCCTTTACGCCTTTAGGGATAGTTATTGGCAGGATTTGCATCAACCGTTTCGTTGTCCAGAAGTGACATCAATCTTACCCAAAAAATTCAGACCTCTTGCACACGTCTTTCTTGGGAAACGGACAGAAACAGGGACAATGGCCTAATCCCGCTTCTGTAGAGTGGGCTAAAAATAAGGGTTCAAAATGGCCCGATCGAAAATATCCGGAGACTATTTGTCCTACCTGTACTTTCTTTCGCCCCACAAGAAACGAATTAAAATTCGTTTAGAACCTTCTATTGATAGGACACAACGAATTTACTGCTGCAAACCAATATTTTGCAGGGTTTATATGATTTCCAATAGGGTGCCAAGCTTGTTTTCCAAGGAATTCGTCTTAGAATCGAAGCTGGGCGGCTTCTTCAAATCGTCAGCCTAGAAATCAATCCCGCCATGTACGCCAAAACCTGCAGGTTTTGCCGTCCTCGTTTGGTGGAATGGCGGGTGTGCCTGTTCCTATACGTTCAACAATAATTGGAATTTCAAGCTGTTGCGCCGGATGACTGAGTACCGCAAGCAGCTGTGAGAAGAATTTCGGCAAACTTGCTTCGCTCTACGAGCAGAACTCCGCCAGCTGCCACTTGAAGAACCCCGCCGTACCAGAGGAACACTTTGGTGTGGACCCGGCTATGCGCAGCAGAAACTTCCATCGCGGCCTGCGTAGATGTGTTAGCTTATTATAACGCTGCACACGTATACTTATTATTAATTGTGATTAGTTTGTTTAAAATCGGTGGATCCTTAGAATAAAGACTAACGTCGAAAACAAAAACACCTGCGCGAAAGGATCAGTAGTCAAAGTGTGCTTGAAGCTACTGTTGCATACGTGTTTGCAGTCGGTTACTACGGTTGGCAGTGCAATATGAGAGTTTTTAAATTAGAGAGCAACTTGTAAACGCTGCTTTAGTGCCATCTGCACACCGAGGTGCACTTAAGACTGCATTAGAACTGCTTTGTTACTGTCGTTTAGATGAGAAGATTGAAGTGCTGTTTCTACTGAACTAAAAATGTATACGGAACTGTATTGAAACTGCATTTTCACTTAATACCACTACTTATAATGGTTAGCAAGTACAACACTTTCAAGTACACTTTTATGTACACTGGAGAGCGCTGTACGTAATGTAGGTCAGGGGTCTACTCATTGCTACAGTAAAAGATAAGACTAGGTAGATGTACGCCAGACCACGTCTCGCGTAACAGGCTTCGCGATATCTCACGAAACACTGTTGCGCTGCGACGCGCCTGGCATACATCTACCTAGGCCTGCGGAGCTGACACCCGAGTCGGGTAGTGCAAAAATGTACACAAAGAGACGGGCCTCCGGCCCGTCAACTTCCCGTCACTTCGACTAAGCATGCAGGGTTGTACATTGTTTCGCTTGTTTACGTCAAAAACTCCCTGTGGCGCCTAAATCGTTAAAGATAGAGAATCGGACGAAATTTTTGCCCAAAGGGCTCTACTTTGCTGAGTTTCCTCTCAGGAAACTGCAAAAAAATATTTTTTTTGTAAACTTTAGACACCTCTGTTTATATAGGTTATAAATGCCGGGTGGTCCACAGACCCCTTCCTTTATTTTGCTTATACTGTACCGCATCCAGGCGGGTGGGCGGGTTGCATGCTCGCGCGTGGCCATCCCGGGTGGAAGGATCTTTAGTTAGACGTCTTAGAGAAAATAGACGTCTCTTAGATATTTAATAGACATCTACCGCTAGACGGCAAGTTGTGTATTAGACGTCTTCGGTAGACGTTTATTAGACCGTCTTGATTGTCTCTGGAGGCATCTATTAGACGTCTATCAGTAGACGTCTATATTTGGATGCCCTTTAGATGACATCTAGATATTTATTATTAGATTTTTAAAATGCAACCTTCAAATTCAAAAATTATTCTGCACTTTCTTCCTCTGGCGCTTTTCTTCTTTCTCTGTGGTGGATCGTTATCTAGATTGTAACTCATTGAATTGATTAATTCTTACTGTTTTACCTTACCTTGCCCGGTTTCGAACCTCAGAACTGCGGATTGGTAACCCTCGACGCTGACCACGCCTCATACGTGAGGTCAGTCTGGTTCCGGTAGCATTCGTCTTACCAGACTCGGGACTCTTTCCCTCTGATTTAGAGTGGCTACTGCCATTACCTTGCCTTGCTTGTCGGTGAGACGGTACGCGCGGTCAGCCACATCCGCCACCAATTGGATAATACTGAAGATCATTTTCCTCTTGCGCTGTATAAGCACACCGGCTAGGCCAGACCAGATGGTGATAGTGATTCGAAAGTTAAACTGCCTCGCGGACGAGGTTTCTGCGCCAGCCGATGAAGTGACGAAGGTGAAAATACCGTACGCGTTGAGCAGCACTGTCCACTGCCATTGAGACGAAAACGCGTTAACCTGTAGCAAGTACTAAGGTGGCCCAGAAGATGAATATAGAATTCTGAGTATCACACACCACACCAAACACATTACGCAGCGCCCACACCCACAAAAAAGGGTGTACCTTTAAGAAGCAGGACCATGCGGTCCTCCGAGTTTTGCTAAGTAATGTAGCAGTGTGGCACCACCATGAGAACACCCCACCCTTTTATTCTAACCACAACTATCTGTGTTATGTTTATTCACATTACAGCCAGTGTTAAGTGAAAACTCAACTAGTTGACTCGACTGCCCAAACCACCCGCATTCATTAATTACAAGACATTGTAAATAATGAAGCTTGTGGCGTTTTAAAAGAAATGCACACAGTAAACTACCTACAGTTGACTGCAACTGATATTAGCTGGTAAAGTAGCTAAAAGTGTTCGCCCTAAGGAAAACCGCTCAGCGCCTCCGCGGCTGGGTGAAACGCTCAGCTCACTACCACCGGAGAACAACCGCTAAGCAGGCTGGGCGCTTCCGGGCATTAGTTAAGTCGCTTCCCAGTCCTAAAATCCCATGGTGCTTTCCATGACCCATGGGTTGTCATGGAACGTCATGGAACAAAGGAGAACTTTCCATGTATTTTTTGCCGCTTTTCCATGAGTGTTTTCCATGGGCATGTATTAAAACTCCATGGTGTAGGTCTCCATGCAACAATACTAAGCCCATGGACAACTTTACCATGGTAAAGCAAAGAGCAGAGTCTGTTGCCTACGTCAAAGTCAGTCTTACAGATGATTACGGAGCATGTTTTCGGGGGATCAGAACTGAGGCGGAGCCGAATCCGCTGTCTGTTTCAACGTAGTTACGGCCGTTTGCGAGATAGCAGGAAAAAGTGCTCAAATTTGTATGAGATCAAAATGGCCATACTAAAATTCGACCGAGGTGCTAGCCACCAAATTTTGGACCGATATTCAATTAAACACAGATTTCACAGCTTTCTCAACTTTCATGGGAATTTGTTTTTCCATGAAGTTGAGACCAACACCATGGTGAAAGACACACCATGGTAGCATATGCACTATTTCCATGATACGTCAAACGGAAAGTTAGTTCCAACTCCATGGGGAAATAAATTTCCATGGAGGGCCAAGCCGTTTCCTCATGGGAAAGAGGCTCGACATGGAAAGTGAACAGCCACACATGGAAAACGGTCCTTCTGCCATGGAATAGTGTTCATGGAATTCCATGTAGCGCATGGGATTTTAGGACTGGGTTTTTCATCGAAAATGTAATATTGGTATCATTCGAAAGAGGTAAAAATTCTCTTTCAAATGATACCAATATAACATTTTCGATGAAAAAGCGACTTAAGCGGTTGTCGGGGGCACCCAGCCTGCTGAGCGGTTGTCCCCCGGCGGTAGTGAGCTGAGCGTTTTTTCCCAACCGCGGAGGCGCTGAGCGGTTTTCCTCAGAGGGTACCGTAAAAGGGGCTAATTTGGATCACTTTTCGAGCTTTTTTCTGAATTACTTTGTCCCTATAGAGACTATCATGTTGGGGGCTAATATTTAAGTTCTGGCATCCTTAAGGCGTGTTTTCCCGCAAAGTACATAATTTTAGTTCATTTGGATCCCAAGTTATGGAGGAGCAAAGAGTGGTCCGTATAACCCCCCAATGAGGGGTAATTTCGACCACCCTTGTATTAGAGGACGGTGTTTTGCACGAAGTTTTAAAATCGCGAGGGCCTGTAGTGCCACGTCAAAATACAAGATTTTTGAGCCCACTGGCGACTTGATCGGACCACGGGAAAAGGTCCCGCCAGGCTGTCTAAGTTTAACATAGAACTCTTATGGGGAAATGGTGCAAAAAGGGAAATTTTCAGTTTCAGCCTTTTGGATGCGAATTTTTAAAAAAAAACTCAGCCAAAAACGTAATCTACGCGTAAAAACGCTTCTGGAGACGTGCCACACGTCATATGTCATCACGGGATACCTGAGCTAAGGCTTTTTTAGGGTGGTCCAAATTAGCCTATAAAGTTACAATATTTTAGATAAAGTGCGATAAAATGTGAAATTCTCATCCCTTTAGGTTCCCATTTGAATGAGTTAACCTCAAAGCATGTCTCGATAAGAAAATATAAGTGTCTGGGGTCTGACATGCTTATATTTATCGCCACAGGAGAAGTTTGTACGGTGATGTAGCGAAATTGATAAAACGTGATACTTAAAAAATAGTTTAAAATCGAACTTTTACCTATGAACTGCCTCCGGTAACCAGTTTGCCGCCGTTCTACACTTCGCGCGAGACCTTATTACGAGATTGCGGCGTCGAGAAATAGTTCGAACGGCCACCAATAGGTGGCAGCACTATCCGAGCAGGAGGGGAACGAGAGTGGTCCATATTACCCCGCATGGTCCAAATTAGCCCCTTTTACGGTATCAGTATAGCTACAAAAGCCTGCAGCTTTCTGCAACAAATTTGGCTGACTCAAGATAAAAGTCTGCTGAGGGAGAGCTGGGCACATATTGTCACCTTTTGGAAACTCTTCACCAGCAGGGGACGTTCGTTCAAGCAGGATTTCAAATTTCAGGGTTCGTGTGGCTCTATTTGACAGTAGCTATAGAGAGACACAGCCAGGAGCGAGCTTTTCTGAGGAGATGTTGCGGCGGTGGTGGATTGGCTACCTGGTTCCGAGGGTCCACGCAAAGGGATAGGCGGGACCCAGCCGGCCCATGTGTTGCGGGGGTAGCTGAGGAGGTAGTAGTTCAGGAGAGCTCCCATAGTACAGTCAAATTGTGCAAAAACACCCCCTTACCTAGACAAAATTCCGAACAGTACCAAACTTTGGGGATCGTTTTAGGCATGTCTAAGGAGTGCCTAGCCAAAAGTCCCACAAAATCCCACCGTGCCGATCGGCTCAAATCGTGTTCAAAGTTCAAAATTTCGACTTTTGAACAAATTGGTATATCTCAACTTGTGTTTG